ATATATGACGAGGCAGCGAGGTGGAAATACGTCAAAATACAGAAATCGGAGAAACAGACATTTTTCGGGAAAGTTTGGAAATTTTTATCGAATTTTTATTTTTGGGCTCAACCTCTTTAATATTCATATAAAAACACATTTCCATGTGAATTTTATTGAAAAACATCGATTTAAGGCACAAAATGCCTTTTTAATTTTTGTTTTCAAGGACTCTTTAGCTTTTGGAGTTACCAAACTTTGGCGGCCATTGTCTCATCAATTTAACCACTGAAACTAGGATACCCCACCTTCTTCAATCGCAAATACGTCGACTTCTTTTCAAGCTAGTTGGATAGTTTTCTCATGGAAAGCAATACAAATGAATAATCTTTCAGATGGTATCAATAACTCCATATGCCCTAAAATTGACGGGCGCCTGATTCTGCCGCGTCGTGACTAATTTGTTAAGGTCAGCTCGTTTGGCGTTGCAATTCAAAACTTAATTTAAGCGTTTTCGACAAACATGACAATTGAAAAAGGGGTGAAAGGAACTGGTTCCAGGACAGACTAGCAATAGGGCGTTTATATCAACATCTTGAGCATATCTGTAGCGTAGGCACACGAAAAACAACAACAACAACAACAACAACAATTACAACAACAACAACAACAACAACAACAACAACAACAACAACAACAACAACAACGACGACGACGAAACAACAACAACAACCGTGCAACAATTCAGTCTGGGGACGCTGCAGCTCTTGAGAAAAATAACCATCAACAATTTTTGTTTTTCTGGAAACTTTGAACCTTGTACATCTTTTACAGGCACTTTGCGGTTCATGGATCCCCGAAAATACTTACAAAAACTCGCAAACATCGAGTTGTCCCCTTTGCGGTTTTAAAAAACAACAATCATTCTTTATAACCCTTCCTAACGGGTGACGCTGATAAAACATATGTGCAAAACATGTCTTAAGTATATTGAATGGATTTTTAGAAGCGAAACTGACTCAAAAGCTTTCACTGTGTTTCAAACTAGTGAACGTAGGTTCATAGGAACGAATTTAGTGGGTGGTTGGTAAGTGCTCTGGTGTGGTAACCTCCTTCTTTTCTATCAAGCTCCTATCATCCTTATCTCTCCTAATTCTTTTCGTTATATTATTCTCTAATAGCACCTCAGATTTTCTGCCCTTTTATGGCCCAAATGTGTTGCAGGCGCCGTTAACATTTTGCTAAGTTACGCACGTTAAAGATTCCTTTAATTAATGTTCCCAAATCGATAAGAGTGGGCCTCGATCCTACCAAAATATAAGCATCGTGCTAAAATAAAGAGAAACGAAATCGGCGTTCCACTACAGTAGCGGTACTTCTGTTTTTCTAGCGTGACCTCTGGATTATATTGTGTGTGTGTCTGTGTGTGTGTGTCTGTGTGTGTGTGTGTGTGTGTGTGTGTGTGTGTGTGTGTGTGTGTGTGTGT